AAAAAAAAAAAAAAAAAAAAAAAAGTCAGTGGTGGCTCACATCTTTAATCCCAGCACTCCTGAGGCATCTGGTTTCCAGGACAGGCTACAAAGAAACCCTGTCTTGTAAATAAATAAAACCCAAAAAATGTCCCAGTTGAAAGGACAGCAAACTCATTGGTGAAGATGCCACCGTTATTCACCTGTCACTTCTTAGATTGTGTGCATACATGGCCAAGGGTGTGGCGTAAGGTTTTTTGTGTTTGTTTTGGTTTTTCGAAACTGGGTTTCTCTATCTTTGCAGCCTGCCCTGGAACTAGCTCTTGCAGAGAAGCCTGGCCTCGAACTCAGAGATAAGCTTGACTCTGCCTCCTGGGATTAAAGGAGTGTGCCACCACTACCCGGCAGGATCTGTTTCTCAGCAATTACTAATTTTGTTTTCAATTTTTTTTTCAGACATTGTCTCAATTGCAACAATCTTTGAACCCTCTTGTAGTCGAGGGTCACCTCAAACTATTAAATTTATTGTATTTAGTGTGTGTGTATGTGTGTATGAGTGCATGTGTTGCTTTATGTACCACATGTCCAGGTTACTGCTGAGGATAGAGGGTATTGGATTCTCTGCAGCTGGAATTACAGATGGCTATAATGTGGGAAACCAATCTAGATCCAGTGCAGGAATAGCGAGTGTGTCTGACCACTGAGCATTCTCTAGCTTTCTTGAGTTCTTGGTCCTTTGTGTTTGCATGCTGGATACTGGTATCACAGGTGTGTACCTACCTCCCCGCTGTCACAACTTCATTTAAAAATTTACTCAGCATTACTCTGAGATAATCTGAATTATTTTAGCTCACAATTCATGGTGGCCATTAAACCCGAGGCCCTTGGGATTTCTGTGGTATAAGGAGAGAAATGACACCCCTGACTTCCTCATGTATCCTATGGCACTCAACACAAACACTCAAACTGGAGCCAGCAGTGGTGATGCACCTTTAATTCCAGCACTCAGGAGGCAGAGGCAGTTGGATCTCTGTTCAGCTTGGTCTATAAGACTTAGTTCCAGGGGACTGGAGAGATGGCTCAGTGTTTAAGAGCATTGACTGCTCTTCCAAAGGTCCTGAGTTCAATTCCCAGCAACCACATGGTGGCTCACAACCATCTGTAATGAGACCTGGCGCCCTCTTCTGGCCTGCAGGCACGCGTGGAAGGAAGGCTATACACGTAATATAATATTTTTTTTAAAGTTCTAGGACAAACAAAAACCCGGGCATGGTTATACACCTTTTAATCTTAACCTTGGAGAGACAAAGACAGGTACAACTCTGTCGGTTACCCTGTTCTACATCTGAAGTTTCAGACCAGCCAGGGATACATCATGAGATTGCCATGATCTGATGAATAGCCATTACTACATGGAGAAACTACTTCAAACTGGGCTGTGGTGGTGAAAGCCTTTAATTCCAGGATTTGGGAGGCAGAGGCAGGCGGCTCAATCCTGCTCAAAAGCGAGTTCCAGTACTTGGCTCCACAGTACTAAGAAACACTGGGGGGGGGGGGGTGAACTTCCTTAAATTTAAGCTATTTTTTGAGTGTTCTCTGACAATCACATGCGCACTTTGGCGTGTGTGCTCAGACATAGTTAATAGATGTGTATGTAACTGAGGGCATGCTCAGTTGGTAGTATTTAATAGCATCTGCTGCTCTTGCGTTGGACTTGGGATTTGCTTCCCAGCTGTCTTGGTCCTGGAATTTGCTTTGTGTGCCAGGCTGACTTTGAATGTACAGAAATTCATCTTTGCCTCCTGAGTACTGGGATTAAAGGAGTGCACTACCAAGCCTGGCTCAGTAATTCGCCTTTTTTGGTCAGTTTCCACTGAAACATTTTAGAATATCTCTGGTTAAAAATACATGGCCAGTACACCCGGAACTAGTACATATTCTATTAACAAACTATTCTCTGGTTGAACTTTTCAAAACTCTTGTCATTTTATGCATATGCATAATTGCGTGTGCATATGATTAAAGTCAGATGCATCACGGAAAGATTTACATAATTCAAGCCTGTTTCTCTAAACAAAACCACCCACTCAACAACCAGTTCCTCTTCCTTGACCTCATAAAATGAGAACATAGACAAGAAACCATTCCCTTGGGTACTCTAATGCAGTAGAGCGCTGCTGGCTTGCAGCTTAACAGATCTGGAATGTCACTTTGCTTCTGAATA